CCGCACGGACGGCACGCCGTGGCCTCGGGCCTCCCTGCCGCTCCCACGCCTGCCCCTGGCACCCGGCCAGGCGGGACAGGAGGCCGCCTGGCCCTCGGAGCCAGACCTGCCCTGTCCCAGCCACACAGACCACGCCCACGAGGGGTTCCCGGGGCCGGGGTCCCCCGACTCCAGCTGCACCCCCTCACTCCCCTCAGAGCCCCCGGGGTCGGCCTGGTGGCAGGGAAAGGGGGCTGCGAGCAGGGACTCCAGGGCAGACTTCTGAGGGCCAGGGTGGAGGCCTGCAGGCCAGTGGCCAGGTCAGGAGGGGACGTGACGAGCAGGGTCCCCACAGCCTGTGCTGGGCCTTCCGCCCGGCCACAGCCTGCGCCACCGGCCACCCCGGAACTCAGGAGTCAGGAGGCAGCCAGCCTCGGGCGTCCCTTGGTGCCTGCCGGCCCCAGGGGCCCAGCCAGGGAACTGACCCCAAGGACGAGTGCTGGGCGCGGGCCCTCCCACATGGGTCCTCCCCTCAAAAGCGCTGCCACCCGGGGGGGCCCTGTTGGGGCAGCTGCTCGGGGTCAGCCGGGGGCCAGAGGTCACAGTGCCCCAACGCCGGGCCGGGGCAGCCAGAGCTGGGCTCAGCCCGGGAGAGGCGGCCGCCCCCTCGCGCCTGGGGCCTTGCCAGCAGTGGTCAGGGCATGCTCCCCTGGCCTGTGCCCCCCAAGCTACCGCCCTCCCCCAAGGGCTGCTCCTCCCGGCCAGGGGTCACCAGGTTGGGCCCCAAGGGGGCTCCCATGGCGGCCGGCTGAGCGCGCGGGACCATCCCAGGGCAGGAGGGCTCTGAGCCCCAGCAGCCCCCGCCCCGCCTGCCCTGCCCCCCGGCCCAGGGGAGCCTGAGCTCTGCTCCCCCGGCTCCCCAGAGGCCCCAGCAGGGAGATGGCGCACCCCCACAGAGGCTGGACGCCTGGGTGGGCCTCAGCAGCTGCCGTGCCCAGGGGGCACTGTCTGTGGAGGGCGCTCGACCCCGCAAGGGATGGGGCAGAGACAGGGGCATGCCCCCCGCTATCTAGCTGAACCCTCACGCCAGAGGAGGGAGCCAAAGCCCACATCAACACTGCAGAAGCCAACACCAGGTGACACTCGCACCCCACGAGCCTGCACCAGGAGCCCCACTCCTGGCCCTGGCACGGACACTGCTCCTGGGCCGGCCCACGCGGCTCCGCCAGCCCCTGGCCCAGCAGCCCCTCCGCCGGCACCCCCGACACAAGCAGTCACTCCAGGGAGGGCCCCAGGGCAGGGCTCCCACAAGTTCGACGCCCCCACTGGCATCTCCACAGCCCCGAGGCCGCCAGGCTGGGTCCCTTAAGGGCAGGGACCAGCCGGGGCCCACAGAGCGCCCACAGCTGGCAGCAGAGGTGTGGAGCCCCCTGTGCCAGCCCGGGCCGCACCCTCCAGGGCCACGCGGCGGAGGCACTTACCAGCGCGGCGGAGGCACTTACCAGGCCAGACCAAGGCCCCAGAGCCGGGCAGGGCCCACTGGCGCCACCGCCTGAGCCCCGCAGGGGAGGCGCAGCTGGGCCTGGCCCGCCGGGCCGCGGGTGGACAGCAGAGCCCAGCCGCCCTCCCTGCGCCCCGGGCCGCAGCTCCGAGGCAGCTCTGCAGAGCGGGAGCCGAGCCCCAGCCCCTGCCAAGGCAAACAGGTCCGGGGTGTCAGGCTTCCCCCGAGCCGTGGGGAGGAGCCCCCCGAGCACACGCCCCCCCCCGGGGCTGGGCCTCCGGCAGGCCACCAGCCTGACCTCTCCCCAGGGGAATGGTCGGGGTACAGGGGCCCACCTAGGGCGGCCCCCAGGCCCCGGCTGCAAGGGAGCGGTCAGAGTCAGGACTGGGAGTGCTGTCCCCAGGCTGTGGGGTGCCCTCCCGCTGGCCAGCCCCAGAGCCCCACCTTGGGCACTGGGCGGGGATGGCGGATGCCCAGGGACAACAGGCAGGTCAGCCTCTGCTGCTGGGCGCGCAGCTCCCTCCCGAGACCAGGGCTGCTGTCCACCATGCGCCCTGCCCTGCCCAGCCAGGACTGGCCCTGCCCTGCCCTGTTTCTGGTTCCACTGCAACTTGCAGATGGGGAAACTGAGGCTGGGACCAGCAGTGAGCATGCAGTCAGCTGACACCCAGGCCAGGCCTGGAGCCGGTTTCCAGGGCAACACCCAGGGCCCTGGGAGGGCCTTTAGCCTCCAGTCCCTGGCCACTCATCCCCTCTCCACCCCAAAGTGACGCTGTGGCAGGAAGTGGCCGGGGGGCACCAGCCAGTGAGCACAGCGCCCCTCGCACGCCCCCAGGGCAGGCACCCCCACCTTCTAAAGCCAGCACCCCACTCTCCCTGCTCCCTCCGCAGCCTGAGCCCAGTCTTTGCAGACTGTCCCCCACCTTTTCAGCGCCCAGGGCTCTGACTGCCCTGTACACACAGGGCACACCCTCAGAGCGTGGGCAGCAGACTGGGCTGACCTCTGAGGCTCTGCAGGGCCCCGGTCCGGCTGCTAGGCCAGAGGGCGCCGGCCAGCAGTGAGTGGGAGCAGCTCTGGGTAGAGCCGGGGTGCCATGCTTTCCCGTGGTCCCTCCTGGGAATCGGGGCTGCGGGCTGGCTGCCGGTGGGGAGGAGAGAGGGGCTGGCCGCCGGGAGCTGCTGCCGGAATCCCAGGAATGTCCACTGGGCGGAGGCTCTTCCCGCTAGCTAGCTCGCAGTAAACATCCCCGCTGGAGCAGGGTGGGGCGGCCCTGGCCCCTCCTCCAGGCAGCCCTCCGCCCACCCTCCCAAGGCCCACCCACCCAGCTGGCCACCCACCCTGGCCAGGCTCACCTCGGGTGGGCTGCAGCGTCTGCTGGGGCCCAGCGGGGGGGGGGCGGGGGGGCGCACCCAGGCCACCGCGACTCAAGGTCCCCTAGCCTGCCCCCTCGGCCCAGGACAGGATGTGCCTGCAGGCAGCCTGGGGGAGGGGCGGGGAAGGGGAAGTGGCCTCAGCTCGAGGCTCCCCACGTGGCAGGGTGGGGTGGCAAAGGCCACTGGGGCCCTGGCAAAGGGGGGCCCAAGCCCCGGCGGCAGCACTGTGCAGCCCCGCCCGCC